CATCCTTTGTACTGAAGTATTCAAAAGTAAAAATTACATTTTTAATATAAATGATTGACAATTGTTTTAATTGCATTTACAGACCCTTGTAACTCTCTGATTGTAGAACCACGCAAACAAAAGCAGATGCTGACAACAAATCTTTGCTGAGCCTAAAAATAATCATAAATAAATATATTGCAATGCTCAAAACAGCAGCATCTAATCCTTGGATATTACCAATACCATTACATGCATGCACGGAGCACCCGTAGCGCGGGGATCTTCATATCAATCTGTCTTGTATTACTTACTCTTTGAGCTGGCTAGTTCGCGACAAACACATAATGTAATTACATGGTGAATACAGTCGGTGCTTTATTTCTGTCTGTATGACGTTGTTGTGAGTTTGGACGGAGCAAATACAACTTTAGTTTAGCCTGATCGATCCGATCTTCATTCAGAAAACGCGCATTTTAAAAGGTTTTTCGTCTGCCGTCTTGTCTGCACACTTGTCAAAGCATTAATTCATGGTTTTTACTAACCGTTATCAGTATGAGCTAGGGGTTTCACCAACTAATCGACTAGTCGACTAGTCGAATACCTTTACCACTAGTCGGCCCTGTAGGCCCTAGTCGACTAGTCGTGAAAAAAATTGAGGTAAACGAGGTGCTGCAAAATGCTCCAAAACACGTCCGACATTCTTATGTATGGCAGTACTTCAACGAAGATGTAACCAACTCCACAGTGAAGTGTCAGTTGTGTACAGCTGTACTGAAGTACAATACAAATGCATCTGCTATGCGCAACCATCTGAAGATGAGACACCCGCTGCCGACAGCTAGCACTAGCAGTAATGCTAGCACCAGTGAGCAACGGACCGGCGTCAGCACTGAACAGAGGCAAACGAACAGCAAGAAAACACGGGTCAACAGTGATGCGGATGATGAGCTACGGGATTACTGCCAGCGGAAACCGCATATCCCCACAATGGATAATCCACTGGAGTGGTGGGCAGAAAACGTGCACCGCTTCTCCCGCTTTCGAGGAGTACTGGCTACTAGCAAAGACCGGTAGAGGTGAAACCCGTGAAACCCCTAACACACACACACACACACACACACACACACACA